TCCCTCTTGTTTTATATAAATTATTAAGGTTTCTTGACAGTACTCAAAATGAATCATTAAGACATTGTTACAGTATAACAACTGCTGGATCCCTCTTGTTTTATATAAATTATTAAGGTTTCTTGACAGTACTCAACATGAATCATTAAGACATTGTTACAGTATAACAACTGCTGGATCCCTCTTGTTTTATATAAATTATTAAGGTTTCTTGACAATACTCAACATGAATCATTAAGACATTGTTACAGTATATCAACTGCTGGGTCCCTCTTGTTTTATATAAATTATTAAGGTTTCTTTACAGTACTCAACATGAATCATTAGTCCTTTGTGACAATATATCAACTGCTGGGTCCCTCTATTTTTACATGAATTATTATGTCTCTTTCACTAAACCCAATATAAGTTATTAAGTCTTTGGGACAGTATAACAACTGTTAGGTTCTTCTAGTTTTTCATTAATTATTAAGTTCTATTGACAATGCATAATATAACTTATTAAGTCTTTGATACAGTATAAAAACTATTAGGTTTTTCTTGTTTTACCTGAAGTTTAATTTACAATTCTGAACATAAATCATCAAGTTTTACTGACAGTATAACAAATGCTGGCTCTCTCTAGTTTTACATATATTGTTAAGCCTTGTTGACAATATCCAACATAAACTGTTAAATCTTTGAGAGAGTATAACTGTTAGGTCTCTACATGAATTACTAAAGTTTATTGACAATGCACAACATAAGCTATTAAGTCTTTATGACAACTGTTAGATCCCTCTAATTTTACAAGCATTATTAAATTTTATAAAGAAGTGCACATAGGTGTAATAGTTCACATTATTTTGTGGTCCAGTGTCTGGATTTTACCAATTTCAACCATTTACAAGTCTCCTTGGCCAACTTTGCAATTGTTTCCTTAGAAGCTACATCATGCTTGCTGGAGATTTTTCAGGACAATATATTTTCATAATAGTTTGGTGAATGGTGCATATACAGGGGAGGGGAGGGGGGGCAGTAGATGTAATACTACTTTCTAAGTTGCATCCATATATACTAAACATATTTAAAAGGTGTTGCCATTTAGTAAAAATAATGAGACTGTCTATGGAGCACGCCTGTAGATGCCTTAATATGGCTTCCCCACTCATTTACTTTTCCTACAAAAGTAGTGCCCCCTTTATAGATTTAAGCTTAGGTATTGATAGAGTTTAACAAATTTTTCATAATACTGGTGGATAATCTTAAAAATCATAATATTGGGAAAGAAACGTAATAATTCATAATACTGGTGGATAATATTAATAATTCATAATATTGGGAAAGAAGCATAATTCCTAATACTGGTGGAAAAGCTTAATGGCTCATAATACTAGCAGAGAATCTTAATTTATAGTATTGGTAGAGAAACTTAATAATTCATAATACTGGTGGAGAATCTTAAAAATCATAATATTGGGAAAGAAACGTAATAATTCATAATACTGGTGGAGAATCTTAAAAATCATAATATTGGGAAAGAAACGTAATAATTCATAATACCAGATAGTTAAACATCAAATCTGAACCAGTATAATGAGTAGGCTCCCATTTAGGCTGGTGCCACTCCTACTGACACCTTGAAAAAACATCCAGGAACCCAGGTAGGAGAGCACCAACTTTGCCCTCGTCTCCTAGAGTGGAGGAATTCACTCTAACACTCTGGAGAAAAAACCTATGTCCACCACCCCAGTGACTAGAAACTGGGTGTGGTAAGGACTCCCTAGCTCCACTAGTAGAATCTGGGGGCAATGCACATTGGGGAGCCCTGAGAAACAGTGCTCTGGAAACAGTGTAATAGATGAACCAAGTTCCCTAAATTTTTAAAAGCAAGATTTATTCAGTTCAATGACTGGCAGAGACAGGCAGGATCTCCTTTAGTTTTACTCATGATAGTCCATGAGTGGTGGTCCAGCATAGTATGGTATATACCACTTGGTGAGCTCCTAGCTGGTCTTATGGAACACCTCATTTCTACAGAGCCTGTTACAACTGGTAGTAATTACAGTGAAATACAGGTTGCTAGTGCAAAATTGGTTTGATAAAAGAACACCTGTCTGAGAAACAATCGCCACAGAGTGGGATACTGTGAAAACAAGGTAAGGGACCTTGAAAGATAGAAATGAAAATACTCACCCCTCTGGATTATCTAGCAGAAATAGTTAAGATAGCTACAGTGGGTAGACAAAAACCCTCAGATGAAGAGACTATCAGATCAGGCAAGTAATATGAGATAAAGGTATTATGGGAAGTCCATATACCAGTCCGCATAGTGACTTCCACCAAGCAATTCAACCAAGAGAAATCTGATTAGATGTGCTTCACAGAAGATAACCCACCTTCAAAGAGAGCCCACAATAAAGGTATAAGTTCAGGCAACAAAATCTTCAAGACCTTCACTGAAAATGACCAAGATTCAAATCTAATTGGACGTAGAGAGAAAGAGTGAGCAGATGAATCAGAGAAAAGGTTTAACCCTTTTCCTGTCTGACAGAATGTTGGGTAAGAAGAACTGGTCTGAGGATGTAGAGAGAATGAGAAAGTACTCTGTGGACAAATAGCACAAATCACTCTGACTGGTGATGTCTGTAGGTCAGCAGCCACAAAAAATAAAGCAGCAGGTAAAAGGGATACATGGCATATAAGAGTCAGGTCACAAACAGGTGTAAAGAAAGAACACGTAATCTGAATCTACCTGTTAGGTAACTGGAATAATCATTTGGGACCAATTATCCAAAAGGATGCAAGGAATCTAGAGAGTACTGGGGATCAAAAGTATTTAGTTGCGATAATCGAATGATAGTTGATAAGACTGCCATAAACAATGGTGATTGTGAAAGATACAAAACCTCTGTCAGAGAGAAAGCTAAAAAAAACGAGTTATGGTTTACACTATTGATTGAAAAGGGTTCAACCTCCTTTCAATACAACATTGCTGATATGCATGTCATAACCTTTTAGAAAAGTGAATTTCGAACTAAGCAGAAACTGAGCCAGATCATTTCACCCATAGAAATTAAATCCCATTGCTGTGTGAAAAATGGCATATACTCTATGCGAGAAGCCTGAGCTTTTGGATAACCAGATTCACCATATCTGATCATGGCTGCCTTCATAGAGAGAACCTAAAAAGAAGTGGAAGAGGTGAACATACCAAAAGGGACTACAGAAACAGTAACCTGGGTGTAGCCACCAATCTGGTGTGATCAATAGGATCTGACAATGGGTTGGAACAAATCATATATCGTACCCTGGGTAACATATAAAGTGGAGAGAAGGTTGAGAGTGGTAATCCTGTCTTGTCCAGATGAAAAGCATCTATTGCCAAGGCCCAAACATGATGTACTGGAGACCAAATTACCAGAAGTTGGGTGATCCAATGAGAAGCCAACCCACCAATCAGAGTTGCAAAATGAGAGCAATCCAACTGAACCTTGCAATGCAACATCTATTCTGTTGGGAGAATCTGTTTGGATTGAAACAGTGCACCTGCTACTAGAGGCATCATGGAACATGACAAACTAGAAGAGTAATAAGATAAGATTAGTCCTGAGAAAGGAAGTCCAAAATTCGAAAATAAGGAGCCCTAGACTTTATGCCTTTTTGATGAGAAACATAAGACACCACTGTAGAATAGTAGAGCCTGTTGAAGAGCAAGAAGAACAAAACATTGTGTAGGGAATCCTTGATGTCCATGTATACTCTGGAATTCCTGACTGTTGGTAGATGTACCCCATCCCTGAAGCAAGGCATTTGTGAAGAGAATGGAAATCTGGATAAGATGGTAGTAGAGAAGCATAATTTGTTGTAACATCCTGACTTAACCCTTCAAGTTTGAAGAATGATCATGACTAAAGAATATGAGGAAACCAGGAAATAGATGTTTATGATTGTGTAGGATTGCTTGTGTTCTCGTCCCAAAGGCACAAAAGATTCAAGTGATACCCACATTCTCAGAAGAGAAAGAACTATCTGTGCAGTTGGAGAAACATAGGTGAGTTAACAGTGTGACATCCTATTCTATAGCATTGAGCAGGATGAGAGACAGCTGAGCTCAACTGAGAGATGAGATGAAAAATAAAAATACCCAGACTGATGACATATTGAATTGGAGCAAGAATAGATGTCACAGTCCTGAATGAAAAGCCTGCCTGGAGTGTATCTGAAAGCAGAAGCAGGATGTGGTAGTTAACAGTTGAGAGATGTTGCCAGCAGTAACCAGTCATCCTTGGAATGGTGTGTGCACAGTACGATGGAAGAAAGGGGACAAGAAAACTCATATGATACAGCAGAACCCGTGTTAAGCCTATGTGAGACTGAAGGAAAAAACACAGAACTGCAGTACCTACCCTTGTGCACCACAAACACTGATATGGTGGGACTCTTCATTGCTAAGACAAGTGCAAAGAAGAGCCAACTACAACCAAGTTGGACATCAACAATCCCAGTAAAAAATTCAACACAGATTGAGGAATGCCTAACTTGTGAACCTTGGAGAATCTAGGCATGGAAGATCGATGACTAGACAGCTAACAGGAATAAAAAACTTAGGAAAAATCCCAACTCTCTCACTAACTCCAGAACAACCAGATCCAGATAACACTAGAACTAAGTTACAAATATCAATTAACTGTAGAAGATAGAAACCCTACAAGTTGGGTAGATAATAGTGGGGAAGATGTGAACTGAATGACCAATTGTGCCCCAAGGACCTGTAGAGCTTCTGCACTAACGGCTAAGATCACCACACGTCCAGAAATTCTTGGAACGGAGACACCAGAGCTTCTGAAGGTATACAATAATCACCAATACTGCTGGAGATCCGACTAAGGAGTGGAAACCTTAGATATAGACATAATCTATTCTGAGTACCAATGTACCAAAGAGCTGATATCAGGGATTGATACTCACGAATAGGGGTGTAACTATGACACCCTGTAGGAGCCGATGAAATTCAAGACTCCAACAACAACTGGGAGGAATGTAGAAGCCAAAAATTGACCCAACGTAATGCTAACAATGGATCCAGCTCGTCCACAATGAAACTGGTGATCCTGAGAGTCTTTTAACAGAGTGAAGGAAACAAAATGCTGAAGTTGAATTGTAAGTCTGTAGACTTATTTTGTCCCATCACGAGTCATAGACCTATATATGTGAAATACAAACTCTGCCTTAGAACCCCGAAATTCCAGGAGTAAATCTTATTTGAGAGTCAGAAAAATGCCTCCACCTTGTGGCAGTAGGAAAAATCATGCATCTAAGAAGTAAACCTTCCAGCATGAACCACAATTTCCATGTATGGAGAAAAACATTCTCTCCCAGACCTTTCAGCCACCAATTAAGTTGCAGAGTCGAAAGCAACCAGGAAAATGTCCAAAACACCAATAGGAAGAAAGGAGACAAACAATTCTCTACCAAAGTGAATGATGTGGTGGCATAGCAACTGGTGGAAGGTGAAAATCCCTGAAAAGGTATAGTGTGACAGACCAAAATAACAAGATGCCATAAAAAGAGAGTCCAAGTTGTGTTCTCATTGATTGTATTCTTCCTCAGAAATATTCTCATGCTGAAAAGAACATATGAATCTAGCTCCATGCAAATTAAGGCCTGTACCTCCTCTGCAGATAAAGTCAAACACAATTCCTGAAAAGTTGTACCTGTGACGTTTTTGACTGCAACAGGAGTTTCCATAATTGATACATTGGTCGCAAATTCATGCTAAGATTCCTTATAATTCTGTAACAAGAAATAAATGCAAAAAATGTTTGAAAATGCAAAGAAGCCCATTCATAAATGGTAGCCACATGCAAAAAAAGCACGCTTCTAAACAATACTGTGCCAATCGAGAATGTGAGGATTGAGCAGGAATAGCAGAGGGAGCTAGCTGTACCAATACTATTGTTGGAGAGTAGTCACATGATATTTACATATTCAAAAATGACAAGAAATTGATGGGGTATATAGATTGGTGCACTGAGCAGAAGCATTTTTAGCAATGCTTAGGTGGCAGATAGAAGATCTGAGCAGAGCAAAGACCATATTGAAACAAATAACTTACCTTTAAGTTCATATGCAAAAAAAACACATGATACCATAGTTTCAAACATAAGATATTTTCAACTTTTACAGATGTTGTAAATTTCATGCAGCTACCAGATAGCATATTATGGAAATGTTCAAGTATACTTATTGCATTTAAATATTCAATGTCACAATTTATATGATTGGATAATGAATATTAATCAACCAATAAAAAATGTTGATACTTCCAAAAGTAGGCATGCTTGCCAAAATGCCCAGTAAACTAAAGTTTCTACAAGACGATTTTATAGTCAATATTCCACTTATACCCCCCCTCCCTCAATGTCACAGTTTATATGATTGGATAATGAATATTAATCAACCAATAAAAAATGTTGATACTTCCAAAAGTAGGCATGCTTGCCAAAATGCCCAGTAAACTAAAGTTTCTACAAGACGATTATATAGTCAATATTCAGCCTATACCCCCCCCCTCCCAACCCCAACATTTTCTTTTCGACTTTACACAAATCTTAAAAGTCACCTCTGGGACCTCAAATATAGATGTCTGGAACAATCTGGAAATGTCCTATGCCTGTACAAATGTTCTTAATTGCTTGTGAATAAATTAAACCCACAAGGTTACAAAAACAGGGAAGCTGGAAAGGTATAATGGACAAATCTCTAAAGATTTCTAACAGAAAATCCTTCAACATTTAAATTGTTCCTATCTTATTAAAAGATCTCATAAGATATCATATCCTACAAAATAATTCATATGGTTTGATGAGGAATTCAAAATTTCAAGCTTAGATCTTTATAATATAAAAAATCCAAACTTTTTGCAAAGTTGTTGAAAAGCTGATCACTCTGTTCCTTTCTCTTCAACTGGTCCTTGTTTAATTTTGCTAAGATCAAGTCCAAGGTATTTTTCTGAGGACCTGAAACAATAAACCAACACCAATTATTATAATTTAGCATCCAATTCAGCATGAGCTCGAAAGTAAAAATTTTTAATTATCTTGTTAGACTTACTTGTACAAATGAAAACAATTCAAGAAAGACAAAGACAGGGAAGTTCAATCTGTTTCTATTTGCATCAGAGCTTTGTGTAATGTGGTAGAAATAATCCCCAATTCTTTAAGTCCAGCTATTTTAAATAATACTTATTATATTAATGTACTGCACAGATACAGATTGCAATATAAAACTGTTTCTATATCGACACCACTGTGTGTTTAACTGGTTATTTATGTAATTTATAATTATTGAACTATATAAATACACGAATAGTCATAAGTAAGATTTAAGCACAAAAACTTTTTTTGAAACTGTACACAAGTTCCAATTTTTTTAACATGCCTTCTTTATATATATAAAAAAGCCACTTTGTTTGTAATGTTCACTTTGTTGGTAACATTCAAATTGGCTCAGTGATTAGTCTCAAGGAGAAGTCTTGCTCTCAAATCCCAGTTGAGTGTGAATTTTTTCATAATTTTTTTAATTATTAATAACTTATAATGTTTAGAGGAAAATCATACAATATTAGGAATAATCAGAATAACACGATAGTTTAATTTAGGGATACAAATCATTTGTTAACATTCAATTACAAAGACTGGGTGTCATAGTGGTTATAAAACTCAACTATAATGTGGGAGCCTTGCATTGAAATCCTTTTGCACTTCTTTTTTTTTTAAATATTTGTTGTCATATTTACAACAAGCTCTTTGAATATTTGAAAGAACATGAATACTATTATAAATTAAATGAGGGATTATATCATATTACATATAAACACCAGTATCTGTGTCAAACACAACTTTAATATCTTTTCATGCTTGTGAAATACTAGAAAAAGGATAAACATTCTTTATACATATATATCGTTACTATAATATACTTTTTAGAAAACATGTTCATAAAATATTTATTTAAATTTTTAGAAAAAAATTAATCAGCATTTACTGTCACATGACGGGCATCCAGCTAGTCTATAATATTAAACAACACGTATTATTGACAAAGTGAGCATTTCTATGTTCAAAACCCAACTAAATAAGCTACTCAGCCTTGTAGTACTTGAATCAGCCATGCAATACCTAAGTCAGCCCTATAACACTTGACTCAGTTCTGTAATATTTGTGTCAGCCCTATAATACTTCACACAGCACTTTACTTACATCTGTAATACTTGATAATTCCACATAAACATATATGGCAATAATTTTTCTCAAGTTTAAGGATACCATATATCTGAAAGAGAGGCAATTGAGCAATTTGCAAAATTGAAAATTGGCCAAAACTTTGAACTTTCCACATCAAGTAGCTGTATTTAAAACTTTAAACTCTTTACTGGAAGTTGTTATAGAAAACTTAAAATTTTTCACATGTGTAACATATATATTGGTGATGGGGAAAATCTCCCTGAAAATATTTTAACAGCAAATATTAATGTGATCTCTAAAAATGTTCTTTTCTTCTAAGTAATTGGAATAAAGTAATGCATGTATACACTGCCAATTTTCACAGTATGCCTACTGTAAGCTAAAGACACTGAAGCACTATTAATCAAGGGTACTGAAAGGAAGCAATAGAATCAACTGAGCATTAAATTATCTGTAATTAAACCAAATCATATTTTGTAAAGAAGCATGTTTATTTTAACAATGAAATAGTGAATAATCAGAGTATGACATTCAATCAACATGGGAGAAAAACTTTTAAAAATATCACACAGAAGATGAGAACAAAGTATCTGTTTACTCATAAAAAAAAAACTAAAAACATAAAAGCTTTAGTTAATATAGACCTTTTATCAAACAGCAGTATGTAGGAGTCAATTTATTTGCATGTTTAATATTTTTGAGACTTGTCAGTATTTCAATTTTAGGTTTGTTTAATTGTGATATAAATTATCCATTTTAAATGTAATAAGCAAAAAACACTGTTTAACTCATTTTTATTAATATTAAATATTTCATTTTAAAATAAAATTTAAACAGGCCTTTCACTTACCAAAGTGTTATGAAGTAATATTACAATATTTTGCACAAGTCTCTTTGTTTTCTTTTTTCAATAGACAGTGTTAATATTGTTTAAAATTATATCTATAATTGAGTAAGTTCTCTTTTTCATAGTGTAACAAAATTCAAGTTAGTTCTAGGCTTACCTTAGTTTCAACTGTTCTATTACACTACAAACTTGAAGATCACTATTTACAAACACTAGCCTACTTTATTGTCTTTTTCTTTGGTTCTACTACAACATCAAATAAATTACACATCAATAAGTACAAATTACTAGCCAATATGAACTTTATTAATATGATTAATTCTGATGTTGGTTATGTTAATATAAAAGTGTCCCCTTGAAGATAAAAATTTCCACAGGTCTTACTTAGCATCAAATTTTAGGGGGCATTGCAGGCTACATGTAAGTCGCATGCCAGAAAATTGGGAGGAAAATGGAATCAATTCTATTTAAAAAGACTGTATTTAACCTGGCTGTGGGAAGAAAAGGGAGTCACATTCTACAGAAGAAGAATACTGTATTTAACCTGGCTGATGTCATTTGAATTCTTGTAGTTGGATGTTGTCAGGCAGCCACGAAATGTAAATATTGTTTTATTTCTACATGTGTCCACCTCTGGTAACTCAAGTTTTAATTCACTGCACAAATGTAATGTCTTTCGTCAACATAATGATACCAACATCAATCTAAACTATTTCTCATGTACTGTATTTTCTGAACAAAATATACACATCAACACAACTTACTTGCCATATAATGTCTTTCATGAACACGATTTTAACATCAATCTCATGTACTCATTATGTAATATTTTTCCTGTACATAATGGTATAAATAACGTTCCAACCTATCTGTGATGTAATGTCTTCCCTGAACATGATGACATAAACATTAACACATTTGTGATCTAATGTTTTCCCTGAACATGATAACACAAAGATTAACTCAACCTATCAGTATCATATAATGTTTTTCCTGCACATGCTGGCAGAAACATTAACCCAACATACTTCACATGTAATATCTTTCCTTAAACTTAAAAGTGGAGATTTCTTATTCAACCTACCTCTCTTGCAGGTTAACTTAATTATCGATAATGATAGTTCTGACGTGGTGTATAATAAATTAATTTGACACATGTCTGTTAATCTACTTGACCATGTAACACTAATTATGCTATCTCGTAACAATGTAAGTTTTCATAGCCAGGTGCATATACTGATAATGATATAGATTGAGATGTATTGCTTTTGGTTTATTTTTACAAATTCTACTATTTACTAGTACTAGTACTACTAATACTAGTTGTAACTTTTAGTTGCACCTGTGGTTGTAGAACTTGTAGTTGTACATTATAAATTTGCCTCTCAATAAAATATAGAGCAAAAAAAAAAAATGTAACGCAATATATAAAACTGGCTTTAATTTTTTGCTATCAATCCTTTTACAATATTTTGATGACAAAAGTAAGGTAGTTAATAACTGCGTAATTTAGCTAGTAAGTATATTACCAGACGTCATAATTTTCACTCAGGAATGGTACACACCTCACAAACATTAGATTAATAATATTATAATAATAAGCAATTAGGCCTAGCTATATTACTGCACTTTCTACGTTAACAAAGGTTTTTTGAAATGTTGTAGTCATCTGATGGTACGTCGAATTATTGAAGAATTGAAACTAAAATAAACCCATTAAAACAATTGGCTTAAGAGTAGGTCTACGGGATTATAATGCCGAAGTCAAGTGAACCTGGTAGCACGTGTTGAGAGTCTTAGTAGTTTCTAGAACAGGCAGTATTATCGTATATAAGTGCGCTAGACAGAGACGAGGCAGAGAGAAAGAAAGACAGCGATTACGGTCGGCGGCAACTGAGGATAGCAGACACAGAGATCGGAACTATAGTTTGCGGGGACGGACAATTAAGTCTAAGCGCGATAGAAAGTGAGTGAATTGTTGTGAACTATAGTGTGTGTAACTGTGAAAATTAAGTACATTACAAAGTTGTATTGAGGAAGAATAAACAAGTTTTATAAAGAAAGAACCTGTATCTAGAATACTCGTCACGTGACCCCCGCTGTCGTAACACTGCCCCTTTCTTAGTATTGTTCGTCTCGAACAATAGCCACTTACATTAAACTAATAAACAATTAACAATAACTTAATTAAATGTACAGAATTTACAAACACAAAATTAAAATTCAACAAAGTCTTTTAATTTTTCGGGAGTATCTTCTTCCGCACTGGTCTCTGTCTCATTGGCTTCTGCTTCATCAGGAAACGTCCTATCATTGGTAACAGTCACATCAGTAATAGTAACTTCATCAAAGGCTTCACTGTTTCCCTTCTCAAAACCGAATAGAGTTTCTTATTCGGCAGTGGGTTTTTCAGGTGACACGTCTTCAGCAGCATCATTTGTTCCATTGTTCACTTCATCCCAACTGAAATGTCCTGGACCATGATAATGCCAAAACCTGTTGGCATGCGCCACCTTTGGCTTACCTCGCTGACCACATTTTATCCGGAAAGTCACGTCTGAAAGAAGATCCACTATGTCATATGGGCCTTCCCATGGAGAAGACAACTTAGGAGACTTCCCTTTGGTCTTCCTGGGATTATACAACCACACCTTGTCTCCTGGTACAAAGCTAACTTCAGTAGATCTCTTATCATAAGATAACTTCATCGAATCAGCAGACGTTTTCAAGTTTGAACGCACTTGATGGTGAATATCATCCATTCCCTTTCCGATAACACTTTCACAAACTCTGACACATTCTCAGGCAACTCTTCATAAGGTGGGCGTCCTGTTAACAGATCCACTGGCAACTGAAGTTCCCGACCAAATATCAACTTTGCTGGAGTGTATTCAGTGGCTTCATGCTCTGATTTAATATCTATACCTGGTTCCATTTCACCATCATCAACTCCTTCAGTCACTTTGACTTCAGCTTGATGACACCTAATTAGTTCAACCTGTCTTTTAACAGTTACCGGAATTTGGCCTTTGTTGTTCCCAAACGTCATTTTATCAAAATTAATTACACACTTCTTTGGTAGTAAGTAGTCCAACCCTAATATGCATTGGTCTTCAAT